GTGTGTGCATGTGTGTTTGTATATATCATTATATAGAATCACTCCGATCACGCGTGAATTCAGCTATACACTCCGATGATTGCATTGTATGAACGGCGGCAAATTGATATCCTACTATGCAGGGGTTCACAGAAATAACCTGCTTAGACGTTAGAAATTTGAACATCACGTGTCTACTGACCTGAATAAATGGTGTTTCAAATCTCTTGGTCACGAAGGTAAAAAATGAATTATATAACATGTTCGTACAGCTTCTGTGCAAATACACACGACTTATACGCACTATTTTCACAGACTACTACATATATAGTAAAAATATGTTTACACAGCACACAGTAGCCTCAGTACACATTACTGACTATCTTACAGACTCTCAGTCCTCAGACTCGCAACTGTGTACTTATCCTGAGATCCCCCTCCCCCCTGTGTGTGTGAGTGACTGAGTGTCAAGCACAAAAGAGCACAACAGGAAGTTAAATAGGAGGTGAGTGAAGCTCACCTGAAATCACTCACAACTCACATCGTGTGTTTTTTTTTTTTGGTACATATGTACGATTTTTTTTCTCTTTTTTTTAAACAATAATACTTTGAAAAGCACTTTTGTCTTTTTGTCAAGTTCCAACTTCCAACTTGCAAGAACTTTCGACTTTCGAATTCCGAGAAAATCGGAGTTCCGAATTCTTTATGTATTCAGTATATTTACTATTTACATTTTACCCGGTACCGATCCGGCTCCCGAGTTCCGACCAGTGCCTGGTTGCACACAGGTAGAGTGGTAGTCAGCTGGAGTAAGTATCTGGCTGATTGGCGATTGCCCAGTGCCCTGGTGTAGGGGGCAAAGTCAAAGTTGATAATGGTAACTGGTAAGTGGACCCCAAAGTCTGAAACAGTGAAACAGTGAAATCTATGTGTAGGCGGATATTTACTGGAAAAATAATCTACTACAGAAATACATGTATTATCGTTAAAAAAACCCCCCATATTTATTTACTCCTTACAGATATTTACGCTCAGAGAGAGAGTAGAGAAGCGGCTGCGTTAGAGGGCGTCGCTGCTACTTGCCGGCCGGACCGCGGGAGGCTGCTTGATATTTACTGCTGACAGTGCTATGACGCTATGCCGATGTATTTTTAATTTTGAACAATTTTTTGTGTTTAAAAAAAAAGAGCAAATGTCAAAATTCTTCTAAAAAATAGTAAACCAGGTCACCATCGGCCTCATCAGGCATCAGGTCTTGGGGCCTTGGGCCTTGTGGGGCCTTAGGCGGTTGGGCCAGGGCGCCAGGCCCAAAAAATACAGGGCCTGTGCCCTGTCACCCCTGTGATCTGTTGGTAAATATGTATTTACGTTTATGTAATATCATTTTTAAAAATATATATCAGAATGATTTTGAATAGATATTATGCTCTGTGATCTTTTTGTAAATATGTATTTACGTAATAAATACATATACATATGTGATCACCGATCACGATCCCCAAATTAAATCAGCCGTGAAACTTAAGCAGTTTTTTTTTTAATCTTTAATTT